TGGTTACATAAAGTAGTCTTTCGTAGGCGTGGGAGGGGGTGGCTCAGCTCCAAGCTCACCCTCGGCCCTCCCACATTTGACGGAACGTTCTTATTGCAACCAAGGCAGACTTAATGATCGTTCCACTGACGGATTCAGTAGACGCTGTGTATACCGCTCATCAGCATCTGTTGCGTGGGTTGATATCAAGGTTTCCAGCTTAATTCCTTTCCGGTACCAGCATCCCGCACATAGCTACATAAACCTAGCATTCCGGTCGTTGAGACTGCAAAAAACGTACCTGACAGCCAAAGGCGACTTATATGAACAACAGAGAAGTGACAAGGAATGAATTAGTGGAGCCGTATAACATTTCCGTTGGGAACTATTCAGTCATCAGACTGTCAACATGTCGGAGACAGAAGTTTTAACCTGTCGGATAGTTAGTTGTCCTATAGGTACACAAGTCCTTAGCAAGATTGGTTTCTAAGCATTATTCACTGCATGAGTGCTATTCAAGTGATGTCGTTTTGAATACTATTCCTTCATTAGCCTCCTCCATTGGTCAGGTCGATGAACCCACAAGATGGAAGTAGGGTTACTTATTCACCATTTTTAGTGGTTACGGCCCTGATTTTCCAACCTAACGAACGATTTATATTGGTTGATGCAATCAAGAGTGATGTGCAGTTCCAGTTTGCATGCTGCTCAGGGTTTCAACACCATCAAATTTGTTTTCCTTTTTGGGTACCCTGATAGCGGTTCCAGAATCACTGGAAAATCACTACACTGAACAGTATAAGCGACCGTGACCCTTTCTTACCCATAGCACGTTTATTCTTACGCTTTTATGAAATAAAACCGATATTTCGCGTTTAGGTATAAAACAAGGCTACTGGCTAGGGAGGTTTAATTTACTTCCTCGCTCCGTGAGGAAACTCCGCAATGCATTTAGTAAGGCGGCGATAAAATTTATTCTCGAAAACTTCTACATTAAATCGTCTGAAAGCAGATATGAGATACTACTAAGCACCAGTCAGTCAGAAAACAAACCCAGAATCGAGCCCAAAATACCAAACATGTAAGCGCAAACTGTTACCTTCTTACGATCACTCACCTCTACCGGACTTTTCAGACATCCGGAAGTCTCATTCTGGTTGAATTGTTGCTCTCTTCCATCTGAGAAGCGACAAGTAATTCTTTCAAGGTCTTTTTTACGCGTAGCATTGTAAGTCGGAATTCAGGTTGTGGATGCCAACATTCCATCATAAGTCTTGTGCATCTTTCCATTTGCTTCAATAGTAAAAATAATAATACAGTAAATAAATCATTCCATTGTGTTCATTGTTAAATTATATACGATTGACCTGCTCCTTATGAAATGTACCTCTCTATAAAGTCGAGGCAGAAATGTCTGATGTCAACCATTTCTCTGACGATTGACTGAAAGTAGTTTCGGTAACTCATTTCTCCTTAGGGCTGTCACATTAATACCCTAGCTAGACCCAGTCAACTATTCTGATATCTGGGTGTGCTGGGCATCGATTCGATCGGATCATCAAGCGGAACTAGTCTCTTCAATAATGAGCGATAGATGTTTTTGTCCTTCGCTTGATGGTTGTTAGGCCCCAACCTAACTACCGGTGCGCTCATCGTCCGAAAAACTCAATTCCCCTCAAGCACCAGTCAAACCTAGTTCATTCAGTTGTTCTGAACCAAAAAGACTCCAGGCGTCTTCCGCTTTTGTGGGACGGTTAATGACATTCTCTGTAGACAGCAGTACGGTCGCGGGAATTTTACATCATAACTGAACTGTTATTCAATTTCGTATTACGAACAATTCACTCATTTGCATACCAGGTTTTGACAGGTATTCTAGCTGAAACTCTCGCGCACTAAATTGGCCGCGGGCTGACGAAGAGTTTCAAGCAGCTCCATGAGTAGTGCTTTACGTTTATATAAAGTCGATACTTTTAGGCAAGGGGTGAACCAGGATCAGCCTTGTTTTAGAGTAGCATTAAGATGGATAAAAATTGCACACTTATATTGTTTCCTGTCCAAGAGAAATTACCTCTCCGGATCGAACGACTTCCCAATTCTAGAGGATGTTCTTTAACTGTAAGACGAATAAAACTAATAACTCCTGGGTGCACGTCAAATTAGACCATGTTTTAGCATCCTAACTTCAGTTTCTCCAACTACGACCGGCAGCAAAGCGTTTAATCGTTTCCGCAAAAACCAAAATGGGATTTAAAGTGGCGAAATAATTTAACGGTACGATTGTCGTTCACCTATGTTTTTTTCTCGAGACTATTACTGCTTGTGGTTGAGCAGTAGAAGTCCAGTCGCTTGCTTGCGAAAAAAAACTTTTGGATGGCACAAAGTTAAGTGAGGACTCGGCTGAATGAAGCAGAGGAGGGGTAAACAACTTTCTTACCCAAGGGAGCCAGAACGAAAGCCATTTTGTTTTTCTCTGTACAATTTAACTAATAATATGACTGGTAACATATGCACTACTTTATCCATACAGAAGTGTTTTACGTTTTCCAGACTNAGTTTTAACCTGTCGGATAGTTAGTTGTCCTATAGGTACACAAGTCCTTAGCAAGATTGGTTTCTAAGCATTATTCACTGCATGAGTGTTATTCAAGTGATGTCGTTTTGAATACTATTCCTTCATTAGCCTCCTCCATTGGTCAGGTCGATGAACCCACAAGATGGAAGTAGGGTTACTTATTCACCATTTTTAGTGGTTACGGCCCTGATTTTCCAACCTAACGAACGATTTATATTGGTTGATGCAATCAAGAGTGATGTGCAGTTCCAGTTTGCATGCTGCTCAGGGTTTCAACACCATCAAATTTGTTTTCCTTTTTGGGTACCCTGATAGCGGTTCCAGAATCACTGGAAAATCACTACACTGAACAGTATAAGCGACCGTGACCCTTTCTTACCCATAGCACGTTTATTCTTACGCTTTTATGAAATAAAACCGATATTTCGCGTTTAGGTATAAAACAAGGCTACTGGCTAGGGAGGTTTAATTTACTTCCTCGCTCCGTGAGGAAACTCCGCAATGCATTTAGTAAGGCGGCGATAAAATTTATTCTCGAAAACTTCTACATTAAATCGTCTGAAAGCAGATATGAGATACTACTAAGCACCAGTCAGTCAGAAAACAAACCCAGAATCGAGCCCAAAATACCAAACATGTAAGCGCAAACTGTTACCTTCTTACGATCACTCACCTCTACCGGACTTTTCAGACATCCGGAAGTCTCATTCTGGTTGAATTGTTGCTCTCTTCCATCTGAGAAGCGACAAGTAATTCTTTCAAGGTCTTTTTTACGCGTAGCATTGTAAGTCGGAATTCAGGTTGTGGATGCCAACATTCCATCATAAGTCTTGTGCATCTTTCCATTTGCTTCAATAGTAAAAATAATAATACAGTAAATAAATCAATGCATTGTGTTCATTGTTAAATTATATACGATTGACCTGCTCCTTATGAAATGTACCTCTCTATAAAGTCGAGGCAGAAATGGTCTGATGTCACCATTTCTCTGACGATTGACTGAAAGTAGTTTCGGTAACTCATTTCTCCTTAGGGCTGTCACATTAATACCCTAGCTAGACACAGTCAACTATTCTGATATCTGGGTGTGCTGGGCATCGATTCGATCGGATCATCAAGCGGAACTAGTCTCTTCAATAATGAGCGATAGATGTTTTTGTCCTTCGCTTGATGGTTGTTAGGCCCCAACCTAACTACCGGTGCGCTCATCGTCCGAATAACTCAATTCCCCTCAAGTACCAATCAAACCTAGTTCATTCAGTTGTTCTGAACCAAAAAGACTCCAGGCGTCTTCCGCTTTTGTGGGACGGTTAATGACATTCTCTGTAGACAGCAGTACGGTCGCGGGAATTTTACATCATAACTGAACTGTTATTCAATTTCGTATTACGAACAATTCACTCATTTGCATACCAGGTTTTGACAGGTATTCTAGCTGAAACTCTCGCGCACTAAATTGGCCGCGGGCTGACGAAGAGTTTCAAGCAGCTCCATGAGTAGTGCTTTACGTTTATATAAAGTCGATACTTTTAGGCAAGGGGTGAACCAGGATCAGCCTTGTTTTAGAGTAGCATTAAGATGGATAAAAATTGCACACTTATATTGTTTCCTGTCCAAGAGAAATTACCTCTCCGGATCGAACGACTTCCCAATTCTAGAGTATGTTCGTTACCTGTAAGACGAATAAAACTAATAAGTCCTGGGTACACGTCAAATCAGACCATGTTTGAGCATCCTAACTTCGGTTTCTCCAACTACGACCGGCAGCAAAGCGTTTCATCGTTTCCGAAAAAACAAAAATGGGATTTAAAGTGGCGAAATAATTTAACGGTACGATTGTCGTTCACCTATATTTTTCTCTCGAGACTATTACTACTTGTGGTTGAGCAGTAGAATTCCAGTGGTTCGTTTGCGAAAAAAAAACTTTTGGATGGCGCAAAGTTAAGTGAGGACTCGGCTGGATGAAGTGAGGACTCGGCTGAATGAAGCAGAGGAGGGGTAAACAACTTTCTTACCCAAGGGAGCCAGAACGAAAGCCATTTTGTTTTTCTCTGTACAATTTAACTAATAATATGACTGGTAACATATGCACTACTTTATCCATACAGAAGTGTTTTACGTTTTCCAGACTCCATTTCGGGGCATTTTATTGCCAACCTTCTGAGCGAGCGAACTAAATGCGTAAAAAAGATTACTTTGATGTCATTTGGGAATTAGTGAAATGCTCTAAAGCAGACCGCATGTGAAGTAGCAAATATTAAGCGAAGAATCAGACTGCATGCATGAGGATCTTACGGACCTTACCTTTGGCTATGTGAATTTTTAAAGCCTTGTCAACATCTGNTGAGCGAGCGAACTAAATGCGTAAAAAAGATTACTTTGACATCTGGTTGACTTATCTATTGGAGTTATTTTCTCGATCGCCATTGAGAAGGACACAGGTTGGATTGTCTGTAGGCACGACAATGGTTGAAGATTAATGAAGAAACAGATAGATTGCGACCGTGAATCGGGTTAGGGGTACATCATTTATGTGGTTCTCCTCATAAATTTGGCTTTTGAGGTGACTATATCCACGTGGATGGAAGATTGGTTGTCATCCTGGTTGCTAAAGTCGGGTGTTTTAACCCCACTGGATCTGCCCAAGAGCATTTCATTCATGATATATAATTCATCTGGAGTAAAAGTGTGACAGCATGTATAGCTGCTTAACCGTATCGGGTTTGTACCCCGTTGGAAATTACACTCAATGTATCGTACAGATTCAATTTCTGAAACGTTTGCAGATGGCGAAAATTTGGTTTCTTCCGGATGTTTCCGTAAGTGAGTGCCGATGTGGATGATGTCACTAGGTTGTTACTCAGAATCTTTCGAATCGGGTCCTACCTACGATAAGCACAGAGAATCCCGAAGATCGCATAGCTCTATACTCTCCGTGCGATTATGCTTATGGCAACTGCCGGTTTCGCAGTTTTTTTGGGCTAATTATTGGTTACCCGATGCAGTCTTCCCACTCCTGTGCCTGTATTTAATACGCAGTCGAGGCAGAAATGTATGGAAATTGCCTGTCTTTAATAGTGTTTGAATTTCTCATCAGTGTTTCATTCGTCTAGGCATATAAAGACACCGTGAGTATTCTTAGACAGTCATGATGGCTGGATACATCAGCAACGACTTCATCCAGAATTATACTTAAAGTTTAGCATCAATAAACTTAAAAATCGCTGACTGGTTACCTTATCGTTCGCCCATCTTGATGAGAATGGCGGTCGCAGTGCATCAACGCACACGATTTGGTACATTGTTTGGAAAGTTGGATCTGACTCTACCAAATCACCGTACGGGAGCATGTAAGGGTCTGCGTCATCTTGATCAGAACAAACGGGGAAAAAGAAATTGCTTCAGGCATGCGTGCTGAGTACTGAAGCACTTTTAGTGTTTTCTTTAAAAAAACACAAAGAAAAACATGATTTTTTCCTTCATTTTTCGTCGGGCTGTATTGCAGTCACATCGTCATGGTGATTGGATTTGAAAAACAGTCGTAATAGAACACGATTCTAGGAAACTAGAGTCAGTTTAGATACAGGAACATACTAATTGCGTTAGGCATACCTGAATTCTGTAGAGTGCAACGTCGAAGCACTTCCCAAAGTACCAAACTGAAAGCGTACACGTCTGCTGCCTTGAGCGTTTCAAAACTCAGTTTCGGTGGGCACACGGGATCGTCCAGTAAAGTCTTGTTTTCACTCATCCCAGACGAGATCGAATAATCTTCAAATGATGCGTACGCTGCACATAGAATACTGAGCGTCTCTGGAGCCATGTAACGTTTTGTGCCAACCTATTAGCCCGGGAAGGGAACCATTAGAAGACATGGTAGAACTGACTTCACTTTGTGAAAGTTGGTAAAGTAAAAAGCATTCAGAAAGGCAATATTATTAGAATTGAAGGTTTCCCTTCTTGGAAAGATTCTGTCTTGTTAGAAGTAGGTGCTTATATGATTTGCGCTTGTTTTCCGCCCAAAGAATCGCAGTGGCGAAAAGAGAAAACAGTCCGCTTTCATCAAAAACGAATCGAGTGTTGTACCTCTATTAGAACGGAGAGCTCATCGTTGACAGAAAAAATACCGCCAAATTGTAGCGCATGCTTTCGTTAGACAGCATCCATTAGACTTGTAATTTTCTTTTCCGCCACTCCAATTTTCCTCAAACTTTAATGGTTCTACCCAAGTGGTCTCGTTATGAATTTGTTTACTAGTACACACGAACCAAGTGGTTACAAGGCATTAGGCACGAAAATAATATATCTTACCTTCATATAGCTCTTGAATAGTGAGCAATCTCAAACATCCTCTTGAACTTCCCTCGGAGCTCTTTGAACGTTAAACAATGGTGAGCGGACACTGCAAGGAGGTTCTATAATTTCTGTCGTAACCTTCACCTTCCATCAAATGCGAAAGCAGGACTTACACACCAGACAATGCACTACTCGCAGGCGCACTCAGTAGTATAGACCGTTTATTAGTAGTGCATGCCGATGCTTTGGGTTCACTTAAGCTAATATCCTCCTCCAAGCGTTTTATTTAGTTGATACTTGTAACATATTTCCTTTCTGTGCACACTGAAGCGATACTGGCTGACACATTATCAAGCTGATCCTAAAATTGCATGCAATTCCAATATAGTTGGTTCAACCCATACGCCGTAGTCTACACGGTGAAAGCAATTTTACTCTGTGTATCCCGTGCTGATCCCGGCAATACTGTCTGTAATGAAGCCCGAGTGCTGAAGATAACCTCAGAATATCCGACAACTACTTGGAACCAGTCTGAAGCTGCTTCAGGAAGGCTGCCCAGTCTCCAGCCAGAAAAGTCGGCGATCAGTTGGAAATTCAAGCAGTCGGTTGGCCACCACCAACAACGCTCAAGTGTCCAGATATATCCAAGAAGCAATGCTAATCAGCATAGACCGTACAGTGCTGACTCAAGGTTAGAAGTGCACCTTCAACACTCCTAAACTCCCTGTAATTTTGCGCACGGTTTTTCGTAATGAGTTGTCGTGCTTTTGTTGGATTAGCCTTTTTTTACTGCTAAGGTGCTGGAGCCATAATTTTCACTCTCATTTTCGCACTCTTTTAAGAGGAATCAGTCCTCGGCTTTGAATGAATTTCACGACCCAACAACCTTATTCCATAAATAAGTGCGGTTTATTCGAAAGAATCCTTACATACGAGTCTACCTAAAAGGCGCTTCCAATTTAATATCCACATCATAAATTAAAGCTAGATATGACATCGACGTTCTACTCTGCAAGTATAACTTTCTTACTTTCGTAACGAACGAACAGGCGTCATTATTGCAGTACTGCGTTTCAGCTTATCTGTCTCTTGCAAATCACGTAGCTTTACAGGTAATACCATTGGAGTTGTACAACTTAGGTCGAGCGTTTGCACTCACTGAACGTGTCTGGTCAGTCCTATAGTAACCGAGTGTCACAAACGGTGTCGTAGAGCTGACCAAATTAAATCATATAAACAAAATAGTTGCATGAAAAATGACCGACAAAGACTAAAACTAATGTGAATCACGTCAAAGTTGACTTATTTGCGTGATTTCAGTTTCAGTAGAGACCAACCCAATAGTGCCACTAAGTGAGAAGAATTACCCAGAATCCTAATTAATGTGAATCTAGAAAAGGAATAAACCACACGTGAAGTTGGCAGTAAGCAAAAGATTGTCCGGAATTTTGGAAACAGTCAACCACTAGGCCCGTTAATAAAAAACTTAACCACATGCAATGGGATGCTGGCGGGATAAGCGTCGTTACAAATGGTTTTCTTTGTCAACAAGTAAATTGTAGGATTCACAATGAAACGTTTGACAAGGCTGTAGGCGTGTTATTGTTAGCATGAAAAGATTCAATGCCTTCATTTTTGCGATATACTGTCGAGGCGAACAGATATGTGCTATCAGCAGTGATTTCGTCCTATAATTAAATCTAATCTATCCTGAAGGCTGGCGCCACGCATCTTAGGGACTCTAGGGACTTATAGTCGCGAGCCCTCGAAAAGTTCAGAGTCCACACTACTAACGAGAGGATCGCGGGTATGGTATTCGCTTACGTTTTGTGAGATGTGTACTATTGATGATTCTTAACAGTGACGGAAAAGCTGTACAGTGCCTCTCGGCTACTCAGCATGGACTGGCTTCGCCTACTGAATGAACTCTTCACTAAGAATTTCAAATTTTTCTCACTAACAACAGGTAACTGTGGCAGCCTTGGTACCACTGAAAGTCGACTGGCCATAGGCTGAAGCGGATCTGCAACAAGGGCCCTGGAAGATTTCGAGTTTTTAGGGATATTTAGGATGTCATACATGCGAGTGCGAAAGAAATCAACAAAAGCAAGTTTTGTATATTTAAAATAAGGATGGGAAGGCGATGGTTCTGTAGGTTCAAATCATCTAAGACTCTCTTGGGGCTCCAAACATTTAACGAGGAGAACACTTGAAATGATAAATAATAGAATGAAGATCTAAGAGCTCCTAGGCCCAGTTCCACGTTGCAGCTAGCTGAGATTTCTATGTATCCGTCTTCTGTTCATAATTTTGTCCGACCTTCATCAAAAAAGTCACTTGAAAGACTGAGGCCCATATCTACATAGCCAAGATAGTTGTCTGGATGCTCATGCCGATGATAGGGATTCAATATTTTAGCTAAAGCTTCAAAAGTGTCTTAAGCATATTCAAACACATCTGTCGCATTACTTACTTCCAGATGAAATCAGAATAAATAATGGCATTTCCCGGAAACTTCTTTAAGTAGATCATTCGGCATATAAATGAGGTTTTGTGCGGAACAAGAATGTAGAATGAGCATAACCTTTCATATCTTCGAGGTCCAAAGGTAAGCGGAGCTACCTTTGCGGAAAAGACAAATTCTGCATGAAGTAGAATAGCCAGAGTCTGTCCGTGGAAGGTGAGAAATAAGATCATATTTCATTTCTCCCAAGAATAGCAACATGTTTCAATTTCCTGCGTGTACCCCTGAACAGAGATTTCATCTAAACTATTTCAATACTCTCCTCAGATGTGTTTGAGTTAAGAAGCACTGTTTGGGATAGTGTGAAACCAGGCACATTCGTTCAGAATTGATCATTTGTCTCACACATGTCTTGATATGTGTAAACACCGGCTGAACAGGCTCTCCTCAGATGTGTTTGAGGTAAGAAGCCCTGTTTAGGATAGTCTGACACCAGGCACATTAGTTTAGAATTGATCATTTTCCTCACACTCTCTTGATATGTGTAAACACCGGCTGAACAGACCTGCAACTGACCAGTCCTTTAGGTCGAACCAAGCGAAGTTACCGGTAACTCAAGGTATATCTGACTTACTTTGTGATATGTGTACCGGCTGAACAGACCTGCAACTGACCAGTCCTTTAGGTCGAACCAAGCGAAGTTACCGGTAACTCAAGGTATATCTGACTTACTTTGTAGTTTGGGCAAGCAAAGAAAGACGTTTCATTGTGACCGTGGTGGACTTCCGCTAGACCCAAATCCGCGATGCAGCATGTGCCGTTTGCCTGCACAAGAATGTTCTTGGATTTTATATCACGGTGTGCTATTGCCGGCTTGCCCTGAAGGACAGAAAGTAATTCCAGTTGCATGGTGCTCCTTGTGTACACTCAGATGCATATCAACTGATGATCGAACAGGGTGTCCATTGGAACGTGACTAGACAATCCAGTTGGTAGTAAGTAGAACAAAATGGCGGAAATACGCTCTACTCTCTAGTCAACAAGCTTCAACTACATGTAGTGCAAAAGGTCATTGACAGCCATATTTAGGTAGTCATCATCCTTGGTATTTTCGCAACAGATTTGCTCTGGAAGCCGCAGTCCACGGGGCGCTTCAACTGGTTAAAAGTGTGGTAGATAAGGATTCGATTTACTAACTGTTTCAAAACTGAGCAGGATTTGTCTCTGGGGTTTATATTTTTGCTCATTTCACGAGTGACTCACAGAGGTTTTTCGCTTGACAAAGTCTCCCGTATGTCTGAATTATTCGCACTTATCACATAACGAGCATCCCGTGGGTTCACCACTTGATGAAAGTTCTTTGACCCCCTCCTTCACTGTGTCACACACTCAGGTGACGTGGATGTATCTTCCCAAACAAAACGACCATATACAGAACCGATACAAAGTAGTTGATTTGGTAGTCACACAAGTATAGGTTTTTTGAGTCAGCTGAATATTCAGTGGCTTATCGTGCTTCTGGCATCAACGAACCTGCTAGCATCGTACCAGCGCCTACCAATGCACATCTTAGTTGGATAAAAGCTACCATACCTGTGGGCGATATATCCAAAACTGAAATACACACATCCGTATCAGTAGTGCGCATTATACTAACCAATCTACTTGAATTTGACGTCCGAGTAGTAGGAAGCAGTTACTAGGACAAAAGTTACTGCTGACATTTCACGACATAATCAGGAAGTGGACCTTGTTGGAATGCGGTGTTGTTTAAACTGAAAAACTTTGCCCCACAACTCTCATGATAACTAAATAATGAAGAATCTAGGATGACTACGCTAGTAATGATCGTGTTTTCGACAAAATTTAACTTCTAAAGTTGCTTGAAACTCGCCGACAGCCCACCACCGGCTTCGCTACTCTCGAGAGTTAATCAAGTGAGAATAAACCCAGATTCTCATCCAACCTTACGTCCAGCTTGAACTTCCAGTTGTACGCAAGTGGCGAAATGTGTCTATTCACGAATAAAGTTTGTTAACGGAAGAGCAAAGTGAGCCTCAGTCAAACCTCCTATTTGTGGGCTTCTTCGGCTGAATTTACTGCTTCACGTTTCCTTTGGCACGACACTGGCATGAAATATGGAATTATTTTTCTTGAGATAAAATTACTTAGACCTGGTTGCTGATCGAATAGCTTTCACTCTCTGCCAAATTCGGAAACTGAATCGGAAACGTCTCATCATCGTTTGCTGAGACCTAGATGTCGTTCGTTCGCTGTCGATGGCTTACCAGGCGGATAGCAAATGTTCACAAACCAGTTGCCGAACTCAACAAGCAGCATAAAATCCACTTGATCGACTGCCCATAAAAAACTAAGTTGCCAGTGGTCCGAAAAGTTCCCAACAGGTTTGTAGTCGATATCCTATCAATGGGGACTTACTGAAAGACCAATGGGGATTCTGGTGAATCACTGAAATATGCACACTAACAATTTAAAAGGCAGTGCATTCGAGTGCAATGCAGGACCACTGGCGTTCAAAAGTTTTGGGCCGGAAAAACTTCGTACTCAGGCATGATAAACTGGACGACATTTACTCCGAGTGGGCTCCATAATGCCTTTCCAGCATGTAGGCACTGAAAACTCGAATGAGCGTTTTCTAGCACGTTCAGGTTTATAAAAAACTATTCCCAACAGTAAAATCTGTGGTCCATATAGCATCAACGGGACTCATTACATTGAACGGCAAAGTATTTACTTACGAAATATTCCCCCATAAATATCCTCTTTTCTTATAAATACTCACAGAAATGGGCTTCAGATGCTTTTCGGTTTCACTCCATGGACATTTGTGTTGAGAAGACAACATCCGATAAACCGACACCAGTTCCTATTGCTATCATCCAGCATTCGTACGCAGTGACGGAAAATGCGTGTCCTAAGTAGACACCATTATGGGTATATCAAGGACCGGTTTAGTTTTCACATGTAAAGCTATTCGAAGAAATGAACTTGTCATTGAAAGGAGCTAAAATGGGTATGAGCAGAGCTTTAATTACAGGGCTCTATATGCGGACATGTGAAGTTCGTTTGTAAATATCAACCCTGTGTCAGCCAGTATTTATTGATTACCAGGTAACGTGTCGGTAGCGCTCCGATAGACCATGCTGTGGATAAAAATCCAAACAATTCATCTCTGCACGGCGAAAATAAACAACCAGGCTATACGGCGTCACACACACACATCAACCTACCTGTTCCAAGGGGACAGTATCATGTTGCGGTACTAGTCTCGTTACATCCGGTGTAGACCAGCATTGGCGCACCAGTAAGAGTGGATCCGAACGCATTCGGTCACCATGTGGTCATTTGGGACTGTCGCCGTCTGTCGGCGCTTGGACCAACTAAAGGGCGTCAGTAGTTCATAAACTTTGAAGATGGCTTCTAAACAATCTTTAGCATAAAGGGCTGCTGGATGCCGTTCGTGACAGTGCGACTTGAATGTAGTTTCTAACAGTGCCTAACGAATGAACTGCACTGTTTTTTCCAGAGTTAGTTTTGTGAAGTTCCTCAAACAACTCATAAGCGAGGACCTTGTTTTCGAATAGGAGATAAACGAATCAGCACGTACCTCCCATCAGAACTTTTTGGTGTGAGTCCTGGTGACGTTAGGTTTTATAAGTTTCATACATAATCCTAGAGGTTTCGGACAGCAATGTGGCCGGAAGGCATCAGAAACTCAAGACTACTCAATGAGTGACGGACACATCAATCCCTCAAGAATAACCGGTCAGCGTGACGTACATCTGCACTGGAGCTTTGATTACTTTCACACTATGGTGTTCCCTCATCATTTGTCTATTTCTAGACTGTTGACTATACTGTTTTCAATTCCATTAAATTACCGATTTTCGGGGGGATTTGGGATGTAAAACAGTGTGAAAATTTCGGAAACGCAATGCAGGAAATGAAGATGTGAAGTTTGAAATATATTCGAAGACTACTACCTTGGGTTTCTTACTCAGAATATCTCAGGTAGTTTTCAGCTAAAATGATCCATCCCTGTGAAACATGCTGACTCACGATAGGTGCGTTGTTCAGCCAAAACCGTAAGCAAAATGCACCAGGAAAACACAGTACCATAGCGCACAGTGGTCATGTTAGTAAATCCAATAGCCCAATATCTGAAGAGGGTATTGTGATTTCAGACTCAGTTTACAACTTTGATCTCAATTAGGTACAACATTCCAACAGGGGGACAACAGCTCTCATCATTTTGAGTCTTCATGGAACGGCCACTGTTTAGCTGTATAAGCGGACTCGAAGAGAAACAGGAAAATAGAAACTTGCATAAAACAGTATGCCAATATACAGTCAGTCTGCTTTCGGTCAACTGGAGGCCTGCAATATTATTACGCCGAGCCCAGGTTGCACCTACATTGCGTCCTGCGATTATCCATATCCTGGAAGTATTTGGCCTGTGGAATAATGGCCTTAGAATTTTACTTCTAGTACCATCGCAGAGTTAGCCAACCAGAGTTTTAAGGCTTTTATTCGTTTCTGTTTGTGTGGCATTCGTCAGCGCCGATGCACAGAGGACTAAGGTCGGTCTGGTATCCGCAGATGCCTCATCGAAACCATTTTATATTCGCTAAAGCTAAATGGCTCAAGGTGACCAGCGCAAATACGGTCACTGTGGCTAAGGATCTAGCTTATTGTTTCCAATTCCAACAGCTTCCGAAATATCCTTGCGCTTTGTGCTCCTCAGCTCCGTGGATCGAGGCTGTCGATAGTTGAAATGACGAACACACAGGTACAACTTCTTCCTGTACTGCTATTTTTTCGCAACTTGCCCTCTGTTTCGCGATATTCACGTTGTCAATCTTTTGACCAAGATTTCCAGATAATGACATTTTCTCTCGTCCCTCTTTTGTTGCCTTGGTATTCGTCGGTCATATAGAAACCGCTTTGGAATCCTGCTCCTCTCCATTCAGCATGCATTTCCTGAGCCACTTAGATAGTCGAACATGATGATGTCCACTATCATGTCACAACGTGCCTGTCTGAGTACCTCCGTGTTTCGCAATCATCCACTCCAGTGAAAATCGACCATCCATCTTGGACATTGCGTGTAAAAACCACTCTAGCATATGGTGTTGCACTGGGGCACGGTCAGTATTGCCATGCAGTACAGAACGGTCCATCCTGTATACGTGAACTGTGGTATGCATTCAGGAGTTCCGGTTCCTCGACACCAACTTCCCGGGTTTTACAAATGCTACACTAGCCTGGCAACATGCTGTTGAAGCTCACGGTCAGCAGTCAGGTTAACAGACAATCTGCTACCAGAAGAGCACACAGCAGTCCACAATTATTTTCCCGGTTTGATACGCAGAGGAAGGGTGTAGCTTCCGGTTGGAGCAATCTGAGACAAAAGGAAAGTCTTTTTCGATGCACGGGCCAAACTGAGCAGCGTCAGTCGCAAAATCGTTTTTTAGGCTTTACCACTTATCAGGGAAATGCACAAACAACATACGTTCGTCCGTAACCATACGAATATGGATCTTCGTGTGATGGACTAGACTTCTCGCACAAGACCGTTTAATAATACAATGGCGTTCGTCAAACGAATATTCCAGCTACACGCCGGTATCATCCTTCCTTAAGAAAGCTTTCAGGGTAGTCTCTAAGTACAGAGTGGATAGGCTGTGTATAACGTGTGCGGTCTGTGAGAGGGACATTCGGCCACTAGAGGAACTCACGAGATTTTTCTTTAAGTGGTCGTGCATCCACCGCTTGGGGCCAGCCCCAAAATCATATGGTTCTTGGAAGGACGTGTGATCCGTTGAATTCAGGTAAATAACACTAATGCTGAGGGCTTGCGGAGACAGCTGAGCAGCCCAGCGTCCCAGCAGGTTTGAATGAGGTTTCATTTCTCTTTCTTTTATACAGTAGTACGATTCAAGAGCCCAAGAGCTCTGGCGTACCCTTTACTTAGTAGATGGTGTAGGTAATTTAGGAAGTTCCATCTCCGACGTGGAGAATAATACTTGAAGAGTTCCAATTCATTCATTTATTCTCCAACCGCCTCGCAATACCGTATTGGCATATTTGCTAGTATTTTATCTCTTGAGTTGGTAGAAGAGGGTCCAGGAACAGCTTTCTTCCTTCTTAAAGTAGTTGCGCTCAATGCGACCCGCTCTATATTCGTCGCTCGGTCTTTAACTCTCGGAGTAACGCCTACTTCAGTCCCATGTCAGAATTTCGGACAGTTTGGGTTGGTTCGGTTCACTGCTCACACATGGCGTACATTTTTGCGGTAAAGCTGCACAGAGGATTCTCGGAGTTGTTCACTTGCTTTTTTATGTCCTTCTTGCCGCGGGTGGCCAGTGAGTCAGGTTGTTTTCAAAAACTTTCAACTTTTGCATCTCCACTATATGTCCGTAAATGCAAGAGAAGCGCGCACCCACGAACACATCCGTACCCCATCCGGACGTAAAACAAAATAGTTGGAACATGGCACTTCAGATCTTGCATGTACGATTATTGAATTTGCTTGGTTTTGGGTGAGGGTCTTTTAAGGGTACCTTGAGGACCGGTTAACAGTGCGGTGACAATCGTTTTATGAAGTGTGTACAGTGTTGTCTGCACCAAACCAACAAGCACAATTCCACTTGTTTTTTGTTCAATCTGAAGTACTCCCCTCATTCTTCCTATGCCCAAACTTGTGTGTGGCTTACTCATAAAGATGTGCACTTGTGAATGCATGGCATTTGGTCACTGGCTCCGATTATGAAATACGTTGTAGTCAAAATAGTGGGTAGATAACCAACAAAACAAGAGTACGAAAGCAGCCAGTGACTTCACGTATCTCTGCCTACTTTCCGGTCACTTTTTATATTAGATTTTCAGCAACTTCATGAGTAGTATACCATGTCTAGGCAATTTGTTGCGCTATCCCGAATATGGTACCAACTGAAATATGACGTAATCTTGTGCAGCACATTTACCTGAAAGCCATTATCACCGGGAGATTAGCCTGAAATCAGTTGAGCCTCCAGTCAAATCCATATGAGTACGTGAATAAGTAAACTTGTTTGTTTTCAGACAGACGTACACAGGTATTAATGAACACTATACAAAAGCTGGGCACTTCCAAGTCAGCTGTGCTGGTTTGCGAAAGATCGCTGTAGAGACTCGGACTGGATTTATCATAAGTGATAAGAAGAAATCATTCGAAACTACACCAATAAGTGTAACCACTGCAAGGATGTCGCTAAAAGTAGGCTCTGTTGGGAGGTTGTTTGCTTTTGGAAGCATAAGAACTGTACAGTGGTGAACGCTCACAGAGAGTATCCTGAGACAAACGCATGTCTGCTGCAGCTACAGTATCCACACAATCTTCAGTTTTGGTTCCCCAGAAACGGTCGTCAAAAAAGAGACAACCAATATCATGCAAAATGTTAGTTGAATGTGCACTTGACAGGGCTCGGGGTTTTCGGTTGCTCAGTATGTTTTCTAATTATTGCATTCAGTCCACATTTTCACTGTTTGACGTCGCCAATCGAACGAAGTCGCGTACATGGTATGAACTTAATAAACCATTCTGCTGAGTCAAATTAAGTCAAAATCATACAGATGTCTAGGTGGCATCAGTTGGAAAATGTAACAGTCATCCTGAAAATAGGGATCAAGTCTTAAAGGCATCTCCTATTTTGGGAGTGGAACTAATACAAGTTGTTTTCCGAAAATTTCCGCCCTATAAAATTCTTCCTATGCGGAAATTTTCTCGAGCCTTTGGGAGTTACTATGGTAATGTATGGTAATTCAGGAGCACACCGGAAGGACTCGAACCCGTTCATTGGTCACTGACCGAAATGATGTAAGTTTCACTGATATTGGGGGTCATTTTTTCAGTAGACTATGTGCCTCGCTGTGAAGCACCAGATTCTCGGACAGCATACAGATTGTAGCAAAGAGAAGAATGGGCCAACTCATCGTGAACGAGGTGGTTTCCAGAAGCCGCCATACCCTCCGAATAGATGTTAATGGTCAGCAATGACAGGGGCAGGTACTACGTAAAGGCGGCAGGCGATTCTGGGTGAAGTCATTCTGATCTTCGACAACGGCTACGAGAGCTCCATCTGTCGATTGAGGTATTCAGAGACAAAGGTTTCTTCTATACAGTCAGTGTGCCACTTGTTCATTCAAACCAATTTACTCATCTGATCAAAATTTACTCATTTGAGGTCTTTGGATTCACTCATTCATACGTACGAAAACGTAACAGGCTGTTTGAGCCCAGAAATAATTGACTTACTGTGTTTCAATTACAAGAAGACTTACATGAACGCCAGCTATGACAGAGTGCAGGTAACACAATCCTTTGGCAGAAGAAGCGGCAAGTAAAAGTCCAACCGAGACTGGAAAGGTGTTCCTCTGCAGATAGTCGTAAAGGGAGCCGGCCGAATGATATTGAGTGATCATCCACAACTGTGTGCAACCGTTTCTAAATTGGGGGAGGAACAAGGCGCAGAGTTGGATGTCTCGCTGTTATCACAAATTTTGCGATTAATGACATTCGTATGTGGAATGACACCAGCTATTACAGTGAATAGGCTTGAATCAGATCTCAGGCTGTTGTTTTGACCTGTTCGACTGTTACGAAACTCGAAGGACCTATTCAAGACAAGACCAAGAGGCTATTTGAATGCTGTATGCAGCTAACTGTTACACAGAAGATGAGTATAGTACATGCTCACCTGGGCCTTTCGTGCTGCGAGCCAAGCCATAGCTGAATAACAGCAGTCAGTGGTTCAAAGCCTACCTAGCGGGGTTCGTAGGTCCACTGGAAGAGGAAATTCGAGCGCGGTGCGTAAAACTAGAGTTTCCGATTCATGGGACCGGAATGGATTTCATTACCTAATGGAATACACAGCCATCTTCGAGCTGAACAACATTTTCCCAGCCAGTGCCTAGTGTATCGAAAAGGGTGGCGTCTGTAACGAGTTGATATGAGGTGTCTGATCAAATTAGCTTCAAACGGTTGACGACAGTGCGTTTCGGTGACATGGTTAGCTTTGCTTGTGGTGTGGACAGCAACGAAACAAATGCCCACGAACGATATCGACACAAAAGTACAAAGTCTTACTTTCCTGCAAATGAGGGTCATGACTGCTAATCGATGAAGCATAAGGCTGAGGCTTACTGCTCTTTATATTGGTTCCATTTGCTGGCTATAGTTCCACACGAAAAGTATGGAGACGTATAAAACATTTCCACTCTCATCAGTTAACGAGATCACCCGATACGTTAATCACAAAATGTTAAAAGTAATACCTCCAGATCCAGTGGAGAGCATCCAACAATGGAAAAAAGACAGCCAGACTGATACGTCATAACACTAAGTGGAATAACATTTTACGGTTTGCATGTCCCCTTTCTAGTTTCGCGGTCGTAGTCTCTCCTAGTTATGCATCAACCATGCAGATTCTGTCCAGTAAGGATAGTATAGATCAAGTCAATTTTATCTGTCGAAATGGCTGCAGACGTACCTCTCCAACTGAAATAAACTATTTACACGTGAGTAATTGGCAACCGGTTGGTCATAGTTTAATTTCCAGTTGCAGGATTGACAAAAGTAGTAGTTAAAGTGAACCAGTGGTTTCCAGACTACTGTTGTTTGTCGTGACGAATACTGGTAAAAAATATGAACAACTCGTCCCTTCCAAACGTTAGACACTGAGGAGTAAATTGTTATTCGTAAACAGCCGCAGTGTTCCGCTTAATTTTCCTAGATATGAGCGTTTTTCAAACAGTTTCATTGTTACTGTGTACATGTGAACTTTTGCATCGGGGGCGCAAAGGCCAACATCGTGAGAATCAGCGCGATACATTGGTTAAACAGTAGCTTCATTTAGCAGAAAAAAAAATAAGAGGCTAACTAACCATATCATCAAAATTGTCAGTTGATGGTCGCCAAGTTAGACCCGACACAGAACGTAGTACACAGGAATAATATAACTAAAGTGAGGAACGCAGTGACGTCCTACAACAGGCCTGAAAAAATGGCTGCTTATTTCACCTTGACGTTAAATCACTCGCCAAATAACTGAGTAGATTCTCATGTCGAAGATTTAAACGTGTGAAAATTGTTGTTTCTCGAAGCCAACTTTGCTCGTCTCGGCTGCTGAAGATTTTGACTGCAACATCCTCGCCTTCGTATAAGCCGTGCCATACTTCTCCGAAACGTCCACAGCCTTGCAAACAAGTAGAAAATCGTTTGATTTAATCAATTTTCTCAAACGGTCAGTGACAGAATATTGATGTGTTAGAAATTTCAAATTACGTGGTAGAGAGATCCTGGCATAGATGGACATTGTAAACAAAAGGTTACCCAACTAGTGAGGCTTTGAGCCCAGAGGTTAATAGCACCTTTGAAAAAAACTCACAGAGATAAAGAGTCGTCCTCACGCCTTGCAGTCCAGTCAGAAGTCATCTGATGGAGAAGCCTTCTTGTGAGACCTTCTGTTTGTGTTCCTAAAGCTTTATGTTTCTGTGGGAACAATAATCGGTCAAGCAAAAAAGGCGCTCATCTAAGTGGATGTTGAGACATGTCCCGGCGAGTGGTCTCAAAGGACATCAGTGTGCTACTAACAGTGCAACATTAGTCCGTCTGAGCTCAAGATGGACCTGTCGTTAAGGTGCGTAAGCGCTAACTGGAAGGCCCGTGGTTCAAGCCCAACCTCTGCATCTAAGCTACACCTGTATGGACTCCGGCAACCTGGCAGTATCTAGGTTCTCGTGCTTTCCTCGGGTGGCATGACAGGTAGGCACCAAAAAGGTTCTATCTACTAAATAAGGGGCGTCAGATCAGCCTTATAACGACTTCTATACCTACTTGCAAGGTTTTGTTATTGTTTTTGAAAGGTTTTGTTCCCTGAATAGTCGAGATGCCGCGGTTGGGTTCAAACTATGGACCTCTTGATCAGTCTGTTTGCGCCATAACAACTTGCGAATGTCTGAACAGGACGAAGGGGTATCGAGGACTACGTCTGCTAATACTACTTTGTTTCTCGCGAGAGTCCGACTGGGTTAACCAGTGATCTGCTATTACCCTGAAGAGAAGCGTTCATTTGGATACTGTTTTTCTAGGCAAGCAGTGCTGTGGTATTTCATGAGGTCCTCGCAGTTAACTGTTAGGGGTAGAAAAATGTTTTTAAGAGTAAGATTTGTCCATTATTTGGCTCAGTGCCTTACGATTCCCCTTAGTCCGTGAAATTAAGCGCCATAATATTGCATATTATAGGGAGCTTTGTTCGTTATTTACGACGCCGAACAAGAATTCCCCAGTAATAGTCAGCTGTGTGTCGGTCTATAGTTATCACAATACTGTGTTCCAATGGGTAAGCTGAACACCGTTGAAGATAGCATGGTCTGTGATCTTCAGCCATTAAAGCTCAGTTTTCAAAAGCAGATATTTTGTTGATAAGTACAAATGATTGTTTCCTAGCCAGAACCTATCTTTAAAATTGCTATTTCATGTGTTTTCTCAGTGTTATTACTATCGCATTGTGGAACCTCTTGAATTCAATCTCGCCAGCACCACGAAGAACCAAGCTAAAATCGTCTTTCATCTTCAGCTGATTACTGCCTAATATAAGGTTGCTACCACTTGCGTCATCGTCAAAAAACAGCTGGGAAACAGCATTTACTTACATTTTATTCCTTTCCTGACCCTCATTCCCATCAACATCCTACCATTCTTCCTTACCATCAAACTCAATGTACATGAAACTGAATTCTCCAGCTAACAAGTGTCTAATCACTGCGCGCATGGATATAAGTAGAGGAACATGGAGAGCTGTGCACCATACAAACCCGTAAAGCAAACTTCAACCCGAGAGAGATAGGTCGGTAGACGATCACTGAGAAGTCCCTTGGTCATCATCAATCTGACTGCACATGACGACCTAACTATAAGCCATCGAGAAACCGATGTCGTCCAGAAATCCCCGTAAGTTTCGACATGATATCGCACTTCACGCTGTGCATGACCATGGAAACTCCCACAGGGAGCACTTCTGAACTAGTGATTAACCAAATGACGATACTTAGTTAATCATATGAATAATGATTTTATCGTCCTTAGGTTGAAAAAACAGCAAGCGGATAGCCCATCAACAGAACCTGTACTATCAGCAACTGGTTTTCACATCTAGCAATGATCCCCTCGGTGCACCTAAACTTGCCCAGATGAAGCCATAAATTGAACACAAAACATGAGAATGAGGGGAATTAAGACGGGTAAGCGCATTCAGAGATTGATACAATTTTAGACTGATTAATCGTATGAGCCATGAATAAATTTGGGAGATGAGAACAAAAGTTAACTTATGGGCTGCACGGGACAATTCATCTTTAAAGGTGCCGTTCCCATAGTATGTAGGAATGGTTCACGTGGCACCTTAGCTACCTAAACGTGATAAAGCTGTGCCCTGAATCAACTGTATAACGAAGTGCTTTCCAAATTCTAAAACAGTATCTTGGTGAATGTATGGTTCTACTTTCGAACCTGTGGCTACTTAAACAGACTAGTGAACATTAACCTGTTGTCGAACTGTCTGACCGGATAAAAACCTGCTCAGATCACGGCGTTCGTAGGAAATAACGTGATATTTGTGGTACCTAAACATATGAGTCACATGCTGAATGGAGATCCGTGTAAAATTTTCTTCAAATAACACCTACACGGTAAGCCGCATATTTTAACTATTTATGTTAGTAAAGCTCAAGTTTAGTCTTCTTGAAAAGACCTTTTAATAATCACATCAAGCCAAGTCCTTTTAAAGTCTTTGAAATGTGTCCCAAAATAGTTGTAATCATATAATATTAAACCGGCTACAACACACATGAAATAAAGGACTTGCCTATACAGTCCTTTAACTCAATCTGCCGAGCAATCGTTCTTTGTACCAGGAAAGGTACACCGCTTCCACTTCCACTACTACCGGATACCAGACAAGGTGGCTAAAAGGGAACGTATTGCGTAGAAAAGGTGATTATGTAAAAACCAACTCAGAACAACAGACTTTGAATTTGCGAATTTCGTAGTTTACGTAGGTTATAAGACGTTATTCGGTTGCTGGAGGAAGGGGTCACTCATTCTACTCTGTGTCCACTAACTGTAAACAACTGATATTCTAATAGGGCATTCGCAATTATCTACTTCATGGATTACGTAAAACCAAAAGCATTTTACCTCACAAGTGACACGATGAATCGTGCTTCTTCTATTCTAGACGTCTTTTGAAGCTTATTCAAACATGAAATGGGGGACAATCTCCTGTATCAAGTTCTTCCAGTGTATTGATTTAACTAAAACATATGGTTTGTAACTGATAGGGCTTGCTATTTAATCAGTAAGTGAAACACTTTGCGAAGCTAAACCGTACCTTCTTACGCTCAGATTAGTCTAAATTTGCTGTTGAGCATTTCCAATGAACCGATGAGGTCCTGGGTTTTGAACGATCGGGATGCCCACAAGTATTCCAAATAATTATCTTACAGAGTTGAATCTGGGGAGCTTACTTAAGCAACTTTTGAAACTAGCGCTTATAAGATGCATGAAAATGCAACCAAGAGATGTAAACTGTTGCAATGTGTAGCTTTTCTTGGTTTACCTACAGGGTTTTGCCCCTTTTTACAGTGAGTTTGAATTTTTTCGCACTCAGTATCCGCGTTCACAGTAACTGGTGTATGGTTACCACGAACGAAGTCCCGAAAGGCAGCAATAAATGTCACCAAAATGTTTTGTAGCCGATATTTATTGATTGTTAATGAATGGTTGAATCTTCAGCTGATAGTTTTGTTTCTATGTGAAGCGAAGTTTTCCAATAAAACATCGTTCTATTGGTTGAAGTGTTATCAGCCACGATGCACGTCATATAGATTTCTGTTTTATGGAAAGGATTGATTATTTTGTGGCACACTATCAGTGAAGCTTGAAACTTTATTTCTGTCCGCTGAGTCAGCGGAAATTGAGCTAATTAATGATCACTTATTGGTTGATAACATTGCATGCAACAATAGGAGTGCAGGTGATAACTGCATATAGCTGAAAGAATGAAAAACCTATGCTGGAAGTTATCCTTATATATTTAACTCGTGGGCTTTAAGCCTATTTAGATGTGATGTCGTTATCAATAAATCGATGGGACCGCTTGATCGACCGTATATACGTTCACGTATTTTTTTTGCTTCAGTTAACTCATGGTGGGATAGCTTCCGTCTTCGTGTTAGCTTATCTCACCAAATGAAACCGATGGACTACGTGTAATATTGGTAATGCCAATACAGCCTTCACTGAGCTGTACATGGCTCCATCTACGCGGTGTAAATTTGAGGGGATAAGGCCGGTTAAAAACAGCAGGCTTAATGCTGTAACAATCGGCGAATGCTTGGCTGACGGCCCACAGCTATCTATTCAAGCGAGGAAATCCAAGACACTTTTATGCACAGTGCACGAAAAAGCTCGTCTGGTAAATCAAACCACTAAGGAGATAAGCATGCATGGATGGCTTGCGCTAGCCGTTATTAAGCTAGGTTTGTATGACGATGGTCAGAGAGAAGTGTTACCTCTCGCATCGCTATGGAATTAACACCTCGGCACTTACAGCTTTTCGCAGATCGATACACGAAATATACGTACATAGAGTACAACGCGGTACATGTAATCACAATTCAGTCAAAATACTACAGTACAGCACTATTATACAATATAGTAAAGGGCACGTAAGATAAATTTGCGGTATTCATTGAAGTAAAGTTGAATATGGCACTTAAACCACATCCCCTAGATGGATAACTTTAAGGTCAGGGCAGGGGAGAAAACTAAACATTTGGTGGTTACAGTATATGCAAAAGGCCTCCCGGTGGCTCGCATCACTAGTGAAACGCAATCAGGCACACAAAAATGGCCGGCTGATTCTAGCCCTCATTCAGTTTGGTCCACACGACGAGGCACTACTAGCACCATTGTTTGTTTAACGCTTGTGAATATTCGGGAAACTAAGGTGAAAATTTTCTGCTACAAATTGAAGCAGTTCGGCTCTTGAACCTTAAAGTGTCTGTTGCGAAAGGACTTTGCATTTGTCTTGCTGATGAACTTGGCCCAGGATAAATCACCATGAAATTTTGTAGAAAACTATGCTTTGATCACCGACCGCATCTCCCTGACAACTTACAGGCTTTAGTGAAGACGCTGGTCTCAAAGTAATGTCAGAGTTAATTGACATGATTACGAAAGGAAAAGATCGATTTGGTTGAGCGAAGCAACTTCCATCATTCTGTGACGACAAAAGCCACAGACTTCATTGCTTTTTATATTGATGCCGTTTCTTAGATGGGCTGTCTGGGAGACGACTTTGTGCAAAAATGTAACGGAACACATCGATATCAGTCTCCATCTGATATTTATGCGTGAACATTGGTCAATATAAGCAGCTACACTCGCGTGCGTCACTTGAGTGAAAGGCAACTGAGTTACGGTGACCTCTGCACAATACTCACAAAGGTGCGTGTGATCGGAGAATCATTGTGCAATAAAATGGTAGAGACTACTGCGCTTACACTGAAGAGTAATTGATGTAAACGAATGAGGCGCACTTAGGCGTTTACAGACCGAATGAAATTTCGGAGAACCACAAACATGCAAAGTGTAGCTTGATCTGATGCCTGTGACAAACTGACGGATATCAAGTGAGTGAAGCCAAATGTAAGGCATGCATAGTCACAAAGGATTCTGTGAGAGATCCTGCCCAAAATACACAACTGAGAAATTCAGTTCAATTTGGGCTCATACCAGCCTTAGAGACAAGAACTACTTGAATTAAAAGGTCATGGAGACTCTGAAGATGTTTCGTCTTGAAAGGTATTGCCAAACCCGCTTGTCTCTTACTAATTTTGGTGATTCGCTGGCATGAACGGAGATAGGACCCAAATTGGGGAATTTCCGATTGAAAATGACCGACATTCCGCGACGACGCTTGAAACCACAACCGTTCCTTTACCGGATCGGTATTTTAATGTCTCCCCCCGGCACGAGTATAAATGTTATGAGTGTACGCAACAACCTCACAGCGAATCAGGTTTCGCAGCGTGTGGCGAGAGTTAGCGTCCTAAGTAGCTCATATATATATATATATATATATAT